AGTGGAGTTGTCACAAGAGGTCAAAGTAGGTATGTTTTGAAGGTAGAGGCAACATGGTTAGCTGTTGGACTGGATATGGGGATGTGGAAACAAAAGGAATCCATGGTGACCTTAATATTCTTTGCCTGAAAGATTGGAGTTACCATTTATTGAGTATGAGAATGAGCCTGAGGAGGTAATAGATAAGTGGTTTAGTTTTGGGTTTTTGGAGCTTGAGGATACATCTTTAGCAAATGTTGAGTGAGGCATTGTGTATGGGAGATTGGAATTCAGGGGTGTGATCTGGACTGTAGATAAAAATATGAGACTTGCCACTGTAGCCCGGAGACTGGGTGAAGTCACTTAAGGGGAAGAGATCCAAGAACTGAGCCCTAGGGCAATAAGGAGGAACCAGCAAAAGAAAACTGAGGATGAACAGAGAGATTAGGAAGAAAATTAGATGGTGTCCTGGGAGTCAGAAGAAGAAAAGGTTTTAAAAAGGGAAGAATGATCAAATTGGTCAAATAATTCTTGAAATAAGAACTGAGACTTTACTTAGTAGATACGGCAACAGGGCAGTCATTGGTGATCTTGACAAGAGTGGAGGGAAGCAAAGATCTAGTGAAATGGGTTCAGTAGAGAGCTGGAGGAGAGGAATTCAAGGATGGTCAACTCAGTTTTAGGATGAAATGATGATTCAGTAATGACAAGGTGAAAATTGGTGTTTCATGAAAGTAAAGGGAGAAGTACTAGAGGGATGCTTATGGGAGGGCAAGAGGGATGGGGACAGAGGGATGGTTGTGAGGTTGGGCCTAAAGTGTTCAGCCTCATTAAATGTGGGATTCTACTTTTTCTTCTAATCACTTACCTACATTTAAATTTATTTCAAACTTACTATATTTTCTGTTGGAAGTTGGATAGGGCAGGTAAAAAGAGGTTAAGCCTATTGAATATGAAGCTTAGTTATTGGACTACTGTCAGCTTGGCATAGTGGGGAAGGAAAAGAGATTGAATCTTCTGGGTAAGGTGACATTTTAAGGTGCCTTTGAATGACAATTATCTGTGCTATTCTAGTYCCTTATCAAAATTTATGATTGAGCACAGGCTATAAACTTAATTGTTTGAAATTTGTAGTGGGGTGAATTAAATTTTAACCTAATTTAAAACATGATCTAGTGTTAAACTTTTTTGCTGCAAAATTTGTTTATTGCAAAGGTTTTAGATACTTTATAAAAGATACTTGGGAAGTGGTTTTTAATCTTCCATTTATTTAAAATATTAAAAATTTTATAACCATGTCAGAAATCTGAACCATTTGTTTGTCAGCTCTGATTAAAGCAGCTACCTGGGTAGTTCTGGAGAGGATGATCTTTTTAAAATTTTTTAAAATTTCTAAATTYTTTTTGCAAAAAATTGTGTGAAGTTATGTTAGCAAATAATATTTATAAATAAAAATGTTTTGTATTTTTCAAGAACATTTCTCTATTAAAAATTTTTTAAAAATATAAAAGTTTTTTTTTTTCTTTGAATTACTAGGTATTGAACCCAGGGATTCATGAATGAGAGGCAAGCGCTTTACCACTGAGCAGCAGCTCCAGCACCAAATATAAAATTTTGAACTACTTCATTTATAAATGTGAAACATATTGTAAGAAGCAGATTAATACACTTCTAGTCTTCTTAACAGGAAGAAATCAAACTTGCATTTTAGACACTTTTTGCATGAGTAGTGTAAAAACTAGAGTCTAATTTACATATAAATCCTATGTTTTGTTGCTCAATCCTATTAAATTATAGAAATTAAATCCTTGCCTTTTTTTTTATCTAAATGGTAGTCAATTAATAATCAGTCTTTAGAAGAAACACTTACTGAGTTCTGATGCACAGTGTTTAAGAATTGCTAGTCTAAATATAATTCTTCTTGCAAATCTGATTGAAGCTGTGGACCATCTTCCCTGATAACTACCTAGGCTCATACATATAGAATTTAGCATCTAGTACCCATAGAGTTGACAGACCCTTCTAAAGCTCACTCTTGGGATCCTTTAAGCATAAAGGATTTCAGGTTTAAAACTTGCCCTAGATAGCTTGCTTATATGATCAAAAAACAAAAAAACAAAACAAACAAAAAAACCAACTTAACATGAAAACTTCACCAGAAGTTTTCCAGCGTTTATTGTMATTTGTTTCTTAGAAGAGTTAACTTATACAGATGTTTAAGAGAAAGGTCTAAGAGAAAATAAGCTCAGTCAAAAGAATCTCAGGATCCGTAAGCTCTCCTCTAGCTTTGCCGCCAACTAGCTGAGTGACCTTTGAGGAAGTTACTTAACCTTCTYAGGCTTTGCTTTCCTATGTGGTTTCTGTAGTCCTTATAAGCAGTTTTATTAATAGTTTTATGATATGGCTTCACGGTATCATGGTAAAATTCTTTAGTTTAGAATTGGCTGTGCTACGGAATTTTGGTGAAAAGGCCCTTCAGATAAGATATTCATACGTTGTGCTGCCTTTTACTGAATGACTTTTCAGAAGAGTGTATGTGATCCTGCTTTCTCAAATGCTCAATAGATAGAAACTGAAATGCTGACATTTCGTGATCACTCTGTGTTTTCACATATTTTATATACTCTTGAGTATACGAGCCTTTGTTGATTTTTTTTTTGTTTATTTGTTTGCAATTATCATGTCCAATTCTGTGGCTTTGTGGCTTGCTTTTTCACTCTCTTAATGGTGTTTTTTTTTTTTCCTTATGAACAGAAGTTCTTAATTTTATTTTAGTCCARTTTATCAATCTTTTCCTTTTTACTATACTTAAAGTTGGTAATATTTTACTTTCTTAGTTGACAGTTTGTATTAAAAGTTTTAGAAAGTTATTTATTTACAAATAGTGTTATGGGAGATTGATGCATAAGAAAGTTTTCCCTATTCTGAAAGAACTAACAAGAAAATCCTAATAGGGAAGATAAGCCTGCAGCCCACAGTTTAAATGTCCAATCATTTAATTGATTTTAACATTTATCGAGCGAATACAATGTGTCCCTATTTCAGGTATTTTTTTGAGACAGAATCCTATAGGTAACCATAATGTTAAGAATCCACTTTTAAATATCTGTACCATTCTACAGACTTTTGTATGATTTTTATTTTGGTTGGGAGTCATTCTAATCTTGGTGATGAAAATTGTTATTTGGTCAAATCTGAGAACTTTTATTAAAGGGCTACTGCTAAAGAAAAGGCAGGATAGAACAGTAAATGGAATTTCTCATGAAAATGAATGCCAACTCTATGAATTGGGGCCCTTTTAAATATTTTTGCTGTATGTTTGATATGACTGTGCATGATTAAACAAAGGTTTATTATCTGGGTGATGTGAGGATCTTTTGAAATACCCCTGAGTAAATGAGATACTACTGGAGTAACGTAAGTCAACAAATATACTATGTTTAAGGTACAAGGAAGACTGAGCATGGCTTGTGGAATTTATGTAATTTAATGATAAATGTTAATGGCAAAGTTTTGATTTTTGTTTCCTGATATTGGATTAGGATCTTAAAACCTTGCTTTTCGGGGGGGGGGGATGGGATTGTGGCTCAGTGGTAGAGCCCTCCCCTAGCATGCATGAGGCACTGGGTTCGATCCTCAGCACCACATAAATGTAAAATAAAGATATTGTGTCCACCTAAAACGTAAAAATAAATATTAAAAAAAAAAACACAACAACCTTGCTTTTCTTTCTGGCTTTGTTAGTGAGTAGATATGTGGCATGGAAAAATTGCTTTTGTGTATGTGGCTTACAATCTAAAGTGGTGAGATACATTTCAGAATGTGAATGTGAAGTTTTAAATTCTCTTATTGTTTACATGCAAATTTATAATTTTATACATTGTGCAATGCCATGAATTTTAAAGCCTTATATAAAGCAAATTTATTTCAAGATTAATTGGAAAAATTACTTTTTAAGTAGACCAAACTAAGGACTAATGATGTTAAGTTTAATTTGTTAACATAAAGCAACAAATAACAAAAGTCATTTGTTGGGGATGAGGGTGTAGTTGTAGGTTCTTTAGTGGTGGGGTATTTTATTTCTTTGTCTCTCTTAGGAGAGGAAAATTATCAACTATACTTGACCCTTCAATACTACATTGGGCCTGAACTGCCTGTGTCTACTTATAAGAAGATTTGTGACAGTTTGAAAAAATTCACAGTTGAACCGCACACACACCCTAGAAATGTTGAAGATAAAATTTAAAATATCTATCATAAATGCATATATGTAGAAAATAATCTATTTTATCATCCTTTAGAAAATAAACACAAATTTATTATAAAAGTTAAAATTTACCAAACTTACAGACKTACATGATGCCATTCAGTTGAGAAAAATGTTAATATAAAGATGCAGTATTAAATTGTAACTGCAAAAAAGTAACCGTAGTTCTACTGCATGCTTATAATAATTTTGTAGGGCCCTCCTGTTACTCTTGGGCGGTATATAAACTCAAGTGTTGGGAGTATCTGCTGAGAATGCTGCATGACACCAATCATCTCTGTGAGAGCTGCTCAGCTCCAGTAAATTGCATATTTTGTGGTTATTACTTATTTTCACTGTTTTTCATTACATATATATAAAACATGTTAACTCTTTATGTTATTGGTAAGGCTTCTGGTCAATAGCAGGCTATTATTGATTGTTAAGTTTTTGAGGAGTAGAAAGTTGTACTGGAATGTGTGTGTGCATGTAATGGGCAGGTTGTGCCTCTAATCTYCCACATTGTTCCAGGATCAACTGTACTTACTTTTTCTTGTCTTAAAAAGTTATGGTAAAATGGAGATTTAACTGCTCGTGAGTTCTTTCTTTGTTGTAAAACAACTTACTTACTTTTTTTTTTGGTTCTTAACATTTAGAGACTTGTATTTGTTTCAGTTCTTCTTAAAATCAGATAGAAATCTTTCAGTCTTCGGCTTTTGATAACGTGTTCTAAATCTGTGTTTGTAGTCTAATTCCATTTTTTCCTCTCTTTCAGGGGGCTAAAGAGCTGAAGGAGAGCTACTTTCCCCAAAATCGGTAAGTATGTTTATTAGGCAGGTATCAAGTACTTGATGCTAGCTGGATAGTAATTTACATATTCTTTTTCTTTTTTCTTTCTTTTATTTTTGTTTCTTTCTTTCTTTCTTTTTGGTAAAGAAAATCTTTTCCCCAGAAATGAAACTTTACTGTTTGAACTGAGTGAAAGTGAATTTTTGTTTAATTTTATATAAACAAAATGCATTTGTGTTTCTAATAATAATACYATTTGAAAATCTGTTCCAATGTAAAGTTCCCCTTGTCTAAAAATGCCCTTAATGTACTAGTTACGGCTGAGAATCCAAAAGTTGAGAAATTCAAAAGTTAAGTTTCCCATTGTGTTTTATATTACTTAACATGCTGTTAAATTTGATGGCCTTAGTATATGTGTAAAATGGCTAGGTTAATATAACTGTGGGAACCTTGACTTTGAAATTTAGAACTCAGTGTTTATATTCTTAAACAGTATTAGATTGGCTTCATGTCTGATATTATGTTTTTAGTGTGTTTGTATACTTCTTAAAGAGGAAGAACTAAAAAAAATGAGAATTATATCAGTGTGGGACATACAGGCAAACACATTTTTTCCTAAGATCTACTTTAGTACATTTTTTAATGGCATAATTCATCATGTTTAATCATTTCTTTGAATGTCTAATTCAAGATCACAGATTGCCCAGGGCAGTCTAGTGACTAAGCATCAAACAAATACTAACTTTATTTGGAGAGTGTGTATTATGAAAAAAATTATATTAAAACACGATAGTTGGAATAGTGAAGTCCTCTAATGAAGAACTACTTTTTTTAATCCTCTCAATAGTAATTTTTTAAAAAAATATTTTTAGTTGTAGATGTACACAATACCTTTAATTTATTTATCTTTATGTGGTGCTGAGGATCAAGTGCTCTACCATGGAGCCACAACCCCAGCCCCAATAGTCATTTGACTTAGTGGGTAAAATAGATATTGTAGATAGTTGGTTAAGCCTTTCTTTTGATAATTTATGGCCCTTGAGGTGTCTTTCTTACTTTTTAGGGATTGGATTTTAACATGAAAGGAAGACACTTGAACTAGCAAACCTTGCATTTTACTCTCTTATAATTCTACTCTCATTTCTCTCATGGAACCTTTTTAAATAAACAATCAAAATTCTATGGACTTTTACTTTGTGACATGATAGAATCTTAGAATCTAGAATCTTAAAGAGGGGCCTTTAAGGGTCTTCTCTTCCAGACTTTTGCCCTGTGTGGCAATTTCTTTGCCTATATCCCTGACATGTTGTTAATTGATCTAGTTTCATATTGAATACTTCATTTTAAAAAAAGTAGGTCATATTTTCTATGATGTATTCTGGGGAATTCTAGTTCCACAGAAACTGAATAAATATTATTGAGGTGGGGCTGGGGTGGGAAAAGGGTTCTATGGTCAAATAATTTGGGAAATGCTGCCTTAAACAAAGTTAAACAGGTTTCTTTACTACAGGACTTCTCAGAACCTTTAATATGCTAATGTGCATTGTGAATCTCCAAGAGGGGGATATGATATGCAGCATTCTTGAATACTTCTAATGACAGGGAGCTCACTACCTCATAAGGTAACCCATTCCTTTTTTGTACAGCTCTAATCCTTAGTCTTCCTTATATTGATCTGAAATCTATCTCCCGTAACGTCTACTTCTGTTAAGTATTTATTGGTTATGCTGAGACCACTACACCCTCCTTGTGTTATCTTTTGTATAGTACATATTTATAAGTTGCTGGCCAAGTTTGTCTGGACAGTTATTATTTTTTATATATCATTAACTAACTTTCAAGTAAATGTGGCAACCAGTTCTAAAATCAGCCTTATTTTCACTATTCTCTTGTATATTACTCTCCAGCTTTCCTTGATTTCTGTAAAGAAAGATGGGAACTGGAAGACTATGTGTGTGCAGGTAGCCTGGGGCCCAGAAGGAGCACTGAYGGTGAAGAGAGGTGTGGACACTATGACAGACCTGTGTTTTGTGTGGGGCAACTCTTACCCTAGAGTGGCAGTGATATGAACTGTGTGGGTGTTCCTGTTTTAAAAATGAGGTCTGCTCTTTCTCCAAAAATCCAAACAAAGAAGGAAAGATGGATAATAGCAAAGAAACATAATTAAATAATTAGGAAACTACTATTTAATAATTTGGAAACAAATAGCTTCGGTGATTTTTGTCAACAGCTATTTTTGAGCATAACCAAATTGCCAGATTCAAAGGGTAGGTAGCCTATAAAATCAGGGTTGCCAAGTTCTTATGCAGCATTTTCTTTTGACCTCTGGAATGTCACATAAGAAATACTACCGTGAAAATAACTCAGCATGGGTTGAAAATTTGCTAAATGATAAGAAGTTAAAAATTACATTAATTTTTGTCAGTTTTTTATTTATGTTAATAAAGATTAGAATTTTCAATAAATACTTTTTTATTTTTTCAACTGGGGATTAAACCCAGGGGCACTTAACCACTGAGCCACATACCCAGCCCTTTTTAATTTTTTTTTTAGAGACAGGGTTTCCACTAARTTGCTGAGGCTGGCTTTGAACTTGAGATCCTCCAGCCTCTCTCAACCTCCTGAGCTGCTGGGATTACAGGTGTGAGCTATCATAAGAGCTTTAGTAAAAACTTTTAAAAGACTTACTATTTTTAGCATTCATGTTAAGTTTTAGCATCATTAGTTAATGGTCAAAGATACTATTTTATTTTGCTGCATGTTAAATACATAGTATTTTTTTGCATAATTGAAATCTGATATCTGGATATTAGGCATGGGGCAAGATGTAAGGCTGCATAGATGTGTCAAGGCTTCCTGCTTTTTCCTTTCTTAAAAAGTTAAGCTGTCTTTAAACATTGCATCTAAGAATATACATAAGAGCAGAGGAGTTTTAAACAAAATAAATGCATGGTACAGGGAACATATAGCTGACTGTTTTTAGGGACAGCCTGGGGGCATACAGAATGTGTTTTGACATATTATACATACATGGAGTTATAACTTCTCATTTTTGTGGTTGTACATAATGTGGAGTTTCATTGGTGGTGTAATGATGTATGAACATAGGAAAGTTATGTCCAGCTCCTTCTACTGATGGACTTACTCTTTAAAGTAACCGTTGGTTGACCAGTCAAATTTTGATTGGAAAAAGACATKTCAGTTTAGAAATTTAAAATAATTCTTAGCAGTAAAATCAGTTTTATAGTTTTTTTTTTTTTTACAGTTATTAGAATCGTAATAAGAGACTTAGAGGTCATATAGATCTCTAAGCAAAACTATTCAGAAAAATAGTTAGAAGCCCCTTTCTCAGAAAATTCGGTGTTAGAAAAGCCTGCAGCCTAATAGAAATAACTTTGTAGTAAGAAGTGTTTTTTTTTTTTTTTTTTTTTTGGTACCAGTGATCTTCAGCTCTATTATGTATTTTTTAATTTAGAGACAAGGCCTCACTGAGTTGCTTAGCACCTCTATGTTGCTGAGGCTGGCTTTGAACTCATGATCCTCCTGCCTCAGCCTCCCGAGCTGCTGGGATTATAGGTGTGCACCACCATACCCGGCAAGAAGTTTTATTAGAAAGTTTGAGTGTGAAGAAAAGAGTTAAAATATGTTAAGACTGTCATAACATTTTATAGTTTACAGAGGACTTTTCATAAAATTTAACTTATTTAAACCTCACAATAATCCTCCTGTGAATAGGTAGTATTTTCTTGATTTACAAGCAAATGAGCAAACCCCTGAGAATAAAAGTTGTCACACAATGAGTTTGGAATTACTTTTTTTGGGGGGATAATAAATATTCTTTCTAGGTGACACAGTTGCCCTTTTTAGTGATATTTGATTATTRCTTTTGTTTGTTTTGGAGGATTTTTATTTATTTGTGTAATCTGGTTTTATGCTCTGTTTTTTGTTATTTGAAAGCAAGAAGCTATTAAGTATCCCAGTGGTTTGAGGTATATAGTTTTTTTTGTTTTGTTTTGGTATTAGAGATTTAACCACTGAGATATATCTTCAGTCCTTTTTATTTTTATTTTTTTTGAGACAGGGTCTCACTAAATTGCTGAGGCTGGCCTCAAATTTGTAATCCTCCTGCCTCAGCCTCCTGAGTTGCTGGGATTACAGTGTGTATCATTGTGCCCAGCTGGGGTATATTGTTTTGAAGATTGCAAATGTTTGTATGTTGTGCTGGGCAAGTGCCCTTGCTAATGATAGTATGCAGAGTTCTTGGTTGGTGAAAGGCATTGTACCTGAATACAATATGTCTATTACTATTTGGTCAATCTGTTTATGGTCACCTTGCTTGGAGCAATTGGTTTGTTGTCTGTAACTTATAAATCACTTATTTTAAATTTTAGRATTTATTTATTTATTTATTGGAGGCAGGGTCTTGYTGAGTTGCTCAGGCTGGCCTTAAGTTTGCAGTACTCCTGCCTTAGCCTCCTGAGTAGCAGGGATTACAGTCAGATACCACCCTGCCAGGCAGTGCCTTCTTTTGATGCTATAAGTTGCCCTCACACAGTGTTCAGATGATGGCTGCATAAGTTGTTTAAGATCCCAAAATATTTTTTAGAGGATTCAACATGTGCTTGCCTTGTCTTTGTAAACCGTAAATATATGTATGTTATTTGTTCTTTTAGGTGGAGACCRATCTCTTAAAATTACTATCCAGAAATGGACCTTTCTGAAGGATTTCAAGTGAATCCTTTACAAATTTTTCTATAACTAGTTTACTACCTTTTTAACCCTTCATTTTATTTTAAAATAAAATGGGTAATTGGCATTTAGAGTTCTTGCCAACTAAAACTTCATGCTTTTGTATGTTTCTCCTAGGTAGACAATAGTCTGATGGCGGAAGTAAAAGCTGTCAGCTCCTCATTAACTTGAGTTGAAGTCTTATTATCGTGCAAGGCACTCTTTGACATTTAGAGTCTCTAGGTTAAGACTGAGTTTTGTTTTTTTCTTTTTCAGAGCATTTTGTTTGATCAGTGTAACATTTTCTGGTGCTTATCAATCTTCACCTAATTTTTTCTTATTTAAAAATAAGTGCATTTTTTATGGAAAAATTAAAAAATACTAATACCCCCAAAGTAGAAAGTAAATAACTATCAGTGCTATCACCCAAAGATTTCATTAGCAAATTRTGAAGTATTGTCTGACACACATTGTAGCTAGATAAGTATTATCATGTTTACAGCTCTTCTTCAGCTTGATGGACAAAATTTACATTTTTATGACTGTTGAAGATGAATGTTTTTTTATGTGTGTTGGTCATTCTTATTTCTTCTTTTATGAATTCCTTTTCCATGGATTTTTATTGCTAATTTATGAGTTCCCTTACTATATAAATAATATTAACCCTTTGGCATGTATAGGTTCTCCACGTTTTTTAACCTGTTCCCATAGTTTATATGAGTTCAGTTGAGCTATGGTGTTGTATGTTGCCACCAGAATAATAAAATATGCCTTTCTATGTTTTGAAATACTTATTCAACTTCAAGGTGATTCTCAATTTTATTATAAGGGATCAGTTTTCAAAAATTAAAACTGCATACTGTTTTCATGAACTATAATATATGTTAAGAATTTGAATAGGGAGATTAGTATTTAAAATTAAAGTGTACAATTATATATATATTATGTGTGTGTGTGTGTGTATATATATATATATATTTTAGTTTTAGATGAACACAGTATCTTTATTTTACTTATTTTTATGTGGTGCTGAGGATCAAACCCAGAACCTCATATATGCTAGGCAAGCGCTCTACCACTGAGCTCCAGCTCCAGCCCCAAAGTGTACAGTTTTAACATTAGCAGTTGTTTATAAAGTAAGTGTACATGACAACAACAGAAACCTTGGTCTGAGTAACTTAATCATTTTGATATTTATTTATTWAYTTATTGCAGTTCCAAAGATAATAAATAGCTAAAATACCCATCAAAATATTTGTTCATCAAAATATCTCCTTTTTCAAGTTRACCCTCCTAAATTCACTTCCTTAATGATTTTTTTTTTGTTTAAAGTATCATTGTACAGTAAATCTTTTCTAGCTTCCACAAACCTAACTTTGAAGGAATTTTGGATTTTAGGATTTTTTTTTCCTTTTTGAGATTAGAATATATTGATATCATGTAACATGGCATATAAGCCGAGAGGAGAGAGTGCCACTGATGCTTTAAGCCTAGTAAAATTAAGAAAATATGAAAAGTAATATTCCTAATATAATATAATTAATGACTGTGTCAGTGTTTTTTTAAATGTATATATTTTTAGTTGTAGATGGACACAATTCCTTTATTTTATTTTTATGTGGTGCCAGGGATCAAATCCAGTGCCTCATTCATGCTAGGCAAGCGTTCTACCACTGAGCCACAGCCCTGGCTCCAGCCTGGTCAGTTTTCTGAACTTTATTCATAGATAAATAATTTTTAGAAAACATGAAGACCATGAATCTCATTGTATTGGTGTGAAGTAGTGGCTCTTCTAGCTTCCTGTTTATTCCCTTCCTCAGTTCTAAAAAGCTACTCAAGCATCAAATTTTATAAGTGCAAAGGAGAGCAGAGATTTGAAGTCAGGGTTAAAAAATGTATTCAGACACGTATGAAGACAGGAATGGTGTAAATATACTTTGTATACAACCAGAGATATGAAAAATTGTGCTCTGTGTGTAATATAAAAAAAGAATAAATTTGACCCCCCAAATGTATTAAGCCCCCCCCCAAAAAAAAACCCCACTTTTGCTTTGGCAAAGAACCCCAAATCATGTCTAAGGCACATTTTTTAAAATATATATTTTTTAGTTGTAAATGGACACAATATCTTTATTTATTTATTTATTTTTACCTAGTGCCTCACATGTGCTAAGCAATTGCACTATCACTAAGCTACAACCCCAGCCCCCTAAGGATTAAGGATTAAGAAGGTTAGGCTGGGTGTCRTGTTTGGGTTTACAAGTCTAGATTTTTGACATTATCTCCACATGTAGTTAGTTATACATGTAGTCAGAGATGCACTGGCAAGTGTGAAGAGAGGATGATGTTCACTATGAAGCCAGAAGCACGTTCTGTTAGCCGCCCATCTCCAATGCTACATACAGCAGTATCTTCCATAATACACCCATCGTAATTTTATGGATAGCACAGATTGTATAGATAAATACAGTGCAAAGTACCTATACTAAGTCATATTATTGTATTTAACTTGTTAAATTTAAATGTTTAAATTATACCAGAACTCCCATTTTTAATTTCTTTTCTTTTATTTTTTATTTATTTATTTTTTTTTAAAGAATTTAACCTTTATTTATTTATTGTTGTTTTTTTTTTTTTAAATGTGATTCTGAGGATTGAACCCAGGGCCTCACCTATCCTAGGCAGCCGCTCTACCTGTGAGCCACAACCCCAGCCCTTAATTTCTTTATTTTTAAAATAAGAGTAGTAAGAGCCTAACCAAATGAAAATACCCTAGTTTTCTTTAACTTGTTAGGAACGCAGCTCTCCAGTGTACTCTTTGTGATGCTTAAAAATGTGTGATCATGTTTTGTGTCTCTTTTCTAAGGATTTTTTCTGGATGATGATGGTTTCTAGGGAGGAAGTGATGTTACTCAGTTCTGTGCTTAGTAGGTAGTATGTAACACAGTGCTTAGTTTGTAGTGGGTGGTTATGTTTCCATGACCATGACTTTTGTTATTTTTCTTTTCTTCGTTATTTAAAGTATTCTCTAGAGGAATGCTCAAAAGAATAAAACCCAGAAATGTTTGATACTGAATTGTTTTAGAGAAAAATCTGGGATTTTTCTCCCTCTGTTAAAAATCAAATATTTTGGGGCTCATATTTAACATGAGTATGTTCTTTATTCCCAATTAATGATCCATAACATTTTATGATTTGTACAGCTGCATCAAGAAGAAGAGTTTGTTATTTTAAACAGAGGCTGAAAAACTATAGAATTAGCAGACATAAGAGAAAGTGTGGAGAAGGAAGAGAATGGAGTTGCAGACTCTACAGGAGGCTCTTAAAGTGGAAATTCAGGTTCACCAGGTATGTTGTGTTGTTGGCTTCTCCTACATTGGGCATTAAATTATGACTAAGATTAGTAAACAGGCCCATCTCTGGTTTTTGGTAGTTTGAAAATCATCTTTAAGACAGTTATTCCAGAGTGATGTCCTTTGCCRCTTATACTCAACAAATCCATCAATACTTTTAAGAATTTTCATAAAATATTCCTGACTTCCCTTCCAGAGAAAAGGACTGAAAATATATATATTTTTAGTATCCCAGAGGTATTTAAAAAACACTCTTTTTTGTTCTGTTTTTGGTTTTGGTTCTTTGAAGGACTTTGTTTATGTGCTATAACTTGCGTGTAAGTTGTGAGACATACTGAGCTTAAGTATCATATATACTAGTTTTTGCTCATAGGATACAGCTTTATGCCATTTTTCTTTGGTAATGATTGCTTTCACAGGTGTTTAAATTTCAGATTTCATAATTCTTACACTTACCTTAGTTACCCAGACTGAATAAATCTTTAATGTGTGTAGTTATAAAAGTGCATATATAAGATGTAATTATGTTTATATAATATTGTTTTTATAATCTGTTAACCTTAATAAAATAATTAATTTTTATATGTTGATATGAATATATAAAAATATAATTAAATCAAGACAAAAATATTTTCATAGATAACTAAATAATTAACAGAATATCACTGTTTTGTGTCTATTTTCTAGACATTAGCTGGGCATTAGGCTAAAGACACATACAATCATGCATACATGTATAATTCTTGATACTCAAAAGTGGTAAATGGTGGTGAATTGATTACTTCTAAAGTATAACAGTTGAGGTATAATATTCTTTAAAAAATATATTTTTTGTAGTTGTAAATGGACAGAATGCCTTTTATTTAATTTGTTTATTTCTATGTGGTGCTAAAGGTCGAACCCAGTGGGCTGGGGCTGGGGCTCAGTGGCAGAGCGCTCACCTAGCATGCACGAGGCAATGGGTTCGATCCTCAACACCACATAAATGTAAAATAAGATATTGTGTCTGCCTAAAACTTAAGAATAAATATTAAAAAAAAAAAAAAAAGCTTGAACCCAGTGCTTCATCCAGGCCAGGCAAGAACTCTGCCACTGAGCCCCAGCCTTGATTTAATATTCTTYTTTTTTAAGTTATCCTAAACCTAAATACTCTCTTAATAGTCATAGTAACTGTCAGTTTCCCTATATATTCAGCTACTGGGTTTGAACATAAACTTGATAGATTTTATATTTATTCTTTTGTATACTAACAAATGTTTCTATGTCAATTAATGTTTTAACATACAAAACATATAAGACATTTCACTCTAGTTACTTCTATTTTTGAAAAAAATGGTTAATATTAAATCCAAATGACATGCCTGCTTTGTGAAACTAATGTTTTCTGATTGGATATGGAGTAACCTACTCAATTGATGATCATGATGTATTCAGGGATGCTAGAAATGACAGAGTAAAGGCATTGGTTGTAGAAGCCAGGCAAAAGGTATCCTTTGTTGCATTTCCAGTTACAGAATGAGATTAGGCTGGAATTAAGCTTGCTGTATAGAGATCATATTATGAACCTGCCTGCGCTTGCTATAGTGGAAGTATATTTTTGATCTTTGTTTTCTTTTTGAGGGTGGTGATAGAGCTATGTATGTACATATTTAATGTTCAATAAATATTTATAATGGCCATCTTTTGGAAGGGAAGGCCCCTTTCTCTCCTCTCTTTTTTTAAATTTTTTTTTTTTAGTTGTAGATGGAATAAATACTTTTATTTATTTTTATGTGGTGCTGAGGATGAACCCAGTGCCTCACTCATGCTAGGTGAGTGCTCTACCACTGAGCCACAACCCCAGCCCCTGTCTCCTCTCTTTCTTTGATTGTTTTTAGGTAGATTTGATAGAGGCTTATTGAAATTTTCAGAGTGTTTATTCCATATGGAATGGAGAATAGTTTGATGCAGAGRTTAGCAAACTTTTCTATGAAGGGCCAAATGGTAGGATATTTTAGATTTTGCAGGTCATTTATAGTCTCTGTCACAATTTCTGTGCCCTGTTTGTATAGACAAGTCAATCACAAAAGGTTTGGCTGTGTTTCATAAAACTATTTGAAAAACAGGTGGTGGGCCAGTTTGACCAATTGACTGTCATTTACTTATCTTTAACATACAGTATATCCTCATGAAAAATTGTTGTGTTCTTATAATAAAGGGCAACTTTGATTATACAACATCAGCCTCAAGTTGCTGGGAGTTTGGGTGGTCTAGTAAGTTGCTCAGCTTGTCCACACTTAATCCTGATTGTCTAAAATGCTGTTTAACTGTACATAGAAAAGTTGGTTTATTTATATCCTCCAGAGGTGGAGAGTTAGTAGGGTTATCAGTTAGTTTTTAGATTTCAGTGTCATGGAAGAAAAGCCTTTTCAGCTTCAAAAAGATAATTTTAGTATGAATAGCCAATTCTCTGGTAACCAAATCAGAGGCTTTTTTCATTGAAGACTATGGCTAGATTTGTAAAAATATATAATACCTTGTGTTTTGTTTCATTCCCTTTCTTTCTTTTTGTTTTTTGTGTGTGGGGGGATTGGGGATTGAACCCAGAGTGCTTAACCACTGAGCTATATCCCCAGCCCCTTTTTTAACATTTTTATTTAGAGCAGGTTCTCACTAAGTTGCTTAGGGCCTCACTGAGTTGCTGAGGCTGGCTTTGAACTCGTGATCCTCTTGTATCAGCCTCCTGAGCTGTTGGGATTACAGGCATGGGCCATTTTGCCCAGCAAACCTGTGTTTCAATTCTGTTAACTCTTAGAATGTGTATTGTTATTACTGTGTAGGTTAAGTCTAGGATATAGAAGAGCTACTATTGTCAAATGTGAAATAGAACATAGTGGCATTCACTTTGTGTWTTTGGAGGTCACATGATTGCAACCTCAGCTATCTAGAATATGTCTTAACGCCAGAAAGAAAGTCTTTTGCCTAATTAGAATTAATGTCAAAAGTCATTCGCCAAAGATTAAACATTTAACTCAAGGAGGATTTCTTAGGTTTTTTTAGTCTATTCACTCATCTTAAAATTAGTCTAGTGAGTATATCACATGCTGATTAGAAGGACCAAATTTAAGTTGGGGTTCAGGGCTGTTAAGTAGGAGGCACAACAATAGTAGCAAGATTGCCAGCTGACTGCTTTAATTATAGACTGAAAAGATAAAAGAGATAACTTTTTTTTTTTTTTTGGTACCTGGGATTGACAATAGGGGCTCTTAACCACTGATCCTCATCCCCAGCCCTTTTTATTTTTAATTTTGAGACAGAGTCTCTCTAAGTTGCTTAGGGCCTGGCTAAACTGCTGAGGTTGGCTGTTGCAGTGGGTCATACAAATAAGTTTTAAAGAAAGAAGTTTTAAAGAACTTGCAATCCTCCTGCCTCAGCCTCCTGAAACACAGAGATTCAGGCACTCACCACCATGCCTTGTTTAACAACTCTTTAAAACAGCAAGACCTCTTTTACTGTAAGTGTCTTATTGTACTGTTTGTAGTATAGTATATTAATTCGTACTTTTGTGCCTCTAAGTAACAATAAGAGTTTGACAATTTAGAAGTGCCTTGTTAAGATTTTTCCATTGTATGAAAAACTCACTTGGAAAATAGCTTATTCCTAGATACTTTCAGGAGTCAGCCTTCTGATATTCCTTTATCCTTCAGTTTTGTCTGTTCATCATTATTGCTACCTTTGCAGCAGTGTTTTTACAAGATGGGTACGTCAAATGTCAGGCTTCCTTTTCCTAGTAAAGGTCTCATTCTTTTTCCCAGAAGAGTATAGATAGGTAGAGATTTGCATTATTCCTCCACTTTCTTGTTCTTAGATATTGAGTATCATTGGTCCACTGAATATATTCTTCCCTGAGGTCCCCTCTTACCTTGACAGAAGACAGTGGCAAACTCACCCCTGACACCAGGCTCCCTCTGTTGTGAGAACCAGCCCAATACATCTGCCGAATCTGTACTCTGTTGTACCCAAACAGGCTGGTTTTGAATGGGTCTTTTCAGGTCTTGTGAGGACTTTAGACAGTGACAGCATGTTAGAGGGATGCCTAGCTTGTGAGCAATCGCCTTCTTTAAATTGCTTTTTAAAAGCCACTGCCCTCCATCCCTGTCTCCATATTGAAAAATCAAGTACTTTTTCATTTCAAATGTAAAGTGATAGTTTGGTTTCTTTGTTTTTCCTATTAAGAAGAGTGCTTCATTAGCTTTTCATGTGGATCACACAATCTTTTTTGTCTATTCTGATTGTAGTGGTGTTTTATTTTGTGTGTGAACTTAAAACCCTCAATTTGGGGGGCCCAAAATGATTAGCCCTACAGCATTAATATTTAAAACTAATGGTTCTTTTTCTCTTTTTATTATCAGAAACTGGTTGCTCAAATGAAGCAGGATCCACAGGTAAAATATTTTGCTATTTTCATTCGCTCAATTTTTAAATTAAAAAAATAATTTAATAAAATGACCATAAAATATTCAAATATAGTTGGTCCTTAAGTTTTAAAGAACTCTTTCATGTCTAACAGCAAATATCTTTAGCACATTGGTCTTCATGTTTTATGAGTTTAGAAAAATCCAGTCATTGTACTATTATATAGCTATCACTTCATCTTTGTTATTGTTAATTTGCTTTTATGTTCATTGCTCCAGGTATTTTGGGAGAAATATTGAGAGTTAATATTAATACTGTTCATATATTGTATTTTTTGCAGTACTGGAAATTGAAGCCAGGGGAGCTTTACCACTGAGCTACATCCCCAGCCCCTTTAAAAATTTTGAGATTGCGTCTCACTAAGTTGCTGAGGCTGGCTTTGAACCTTGTGGTCCTTCTGCCTCAGCCTCTCGAGTTACTGGAATTACAGGTGTAATCTCAGTGTGCCACCATACCTGGCAATATTCTTCATATAACTTAAATTTCATTTTCTTAAGCTCACTTAATTAAAACCAGAGTTTGTAAGGGTTTCTTTAGTATCAAAATTATTGAAACTGGACCTAAATCATTCAGTTTTAGAATAAAATAATAAAAATATTTAAAATTTTTTTGAAAGAGCCATTCAAGAGGGTTTTAGAAATATCTTAAATAATGTATGATCTAGAAAGGGTTAAATTTCTTTAAATTTTCATAGTTTTTATTCTCTACTTCTGAAGAGAAATCTTCTCCAAAAGTTATCTTGTCCTCTGAAGATTTATATTTGTTACTCRGGTAGTGTTTCTTTTGCAACCATTAGACAGTGGGTCGTACAAATAAGTTTTAAAGAACAAATTTGGGACTCAATTGTGTGAGTATTGGTATTTTAATGCTGGGATTGATAACTCACATTTAGTTCTGTTTGACAGTCGAACTTCCATGAGAAAGCTCTTTTTTATTTTTATTTCTGTGGTATATTTACAATTTAAGTTGGATTTRGGGAACCAAGAAGCCATAGATCCTGGATTAATAGGTCCTATTATTAGCACCTGAAGTACCATTAGAAGCTAGCCTTTTTAATGTAGTTTGTGATCATATAAAAATAGTCTTAACCAGAAGAATCTGAGGGGCAGTAATTTGTGAGACAGCATTATAGGTGAACTCATTAGAAAAGCCTTTCATCAGATATAGTTTTAAAAGTTCCAGTGGGGCTGGGTACAGTCATACATCCTTGTAATTCCAGTTATGTTGGGAGGCTGAGGCAGGAGGATCTCAATTTCAAGGCTAGTGTGGGCAACTTARTGAAACCCCATTCCAAAGTAAAAAATTARAAGGGTTAGGGGTATAACTCAGTAGTAGAGAGCTAGCAAAGCATATGTGAGCCCCTGCATTCGTTTCCCAGTACTGTCCAAAAAAAAAAAAAAAAAAGTCCAAATGAAGTAAACTTTAAACTCCCTAGAGGGTGAGGATGTGTGCTCCAACTCTTAACAGCAGAGCAGACTGGATAAATTAAGTGTGTAAAACAAGTGTGTGTGAAATGATCAAGTAAAAGTCTCATTGGGCGAGGATGTGGGGATGGGGTTTCAGTCTGCTAGTAGGCTCTCCTGCTACACTAAACATTTGAAAACTCAAATTCCCCCCACCCCACTTGAGTAAAAGGCAAGCATGCTCAGTGTGTCTCATCTAAAATAGTATTCCTTTTTTTGATTCCTAGAATTTTAGAACTGAGAAAATGCCCTGGTAGTCAGTGTGTTAATTTGAATGATGTAGTGTGTTAAGGCAGTTTGAGTACTGACAGCTTTTCAAATCTAGGCTAAAATAACAAATGTACTTTACTAAATAAGGGAGAGGACAAGTAGAGAAAAACCTCTTATCTTTGTTGATAATGCTGCTGAGCATACAGTGTATGCACACTTATGACCTCCATTTTCCTGGTTTTGTCTGATTAGTGGAGCTTAGGGTTTTCTGTCAACTGATACATTCTAAAAAGAATAACAGCATTTTAGTAGCAAGGCACTTTTATAGTGCAAGAGGCTAAAATATAAAACAACTTGTAATTTAAAACAGCTGAAAGAATCTTCCCCTATTCTAGTGCTAGGAGCCTACATTTAGGATTTCTGCATTAGGGGGTGATATTGTGTGTATAATTTAATGCATGACAAATTTGATTGGCTAAATGCTTAAGGTTGCTTCATCATTTGTAATACAGTATACAGTCTTCTTGTTACTATTCTGTTAACAAATGAATATCTTTCTCACAGATATTTTTTCTTTCCAATCAGAATGCTGACTTAAAGAAACAGCTTCATGAACTCCAAGCCAAAATCACAGCTTTGAGTGAGAAACAGGTAGGGAAGTTGGAGGGGGGTGGGGTGGTATTTTTAACATTGTGTTCTAAAGATATGTCTGCTCCAGGCTTCTAAGAGAGCTGCTATTTTTCCTCATGTGTGAAAATAAGTGTGGGCAGCCAGACTCGATTTTAATTTTGTTTGAGCTCTGTTTATCTATTTTTATTTTTGGTTGAAATCAGTCTCTAGAGTATCCCATGGGTATATGTTACTGGCAAACATCTAAAAGCAACGTGGCAGGCTGCCGTTAACTGTTAATTAAACTCTATAGTTTACCCATAGGGAAAGGGTACAGAAAGTTAGTGGGAGTGTGTGGTAGAGTCCTGTAGCTGCTGTATGTCTTACCTGTTGTAAAGGTTCATACTGACATTTAATTTACTGAGAGAGAACAGCTGTTAAGTGGATCTCTAAATTCTAAGTATTGTCATATTTCCATGTTAATCTTATCAGATATTTACCTACTATTAAGCGAAAAAASAAGCAGAAACTTGTTAGACTTATTCTATATAGTGTCTTCCCTTTTCCCAAAGACATGTGGAAAGTATTGTTTGGAGTTCTTTGTATAATGACTTCCACTTCACCAATTCAGGCAGTTCCTGCCACCAGGTGGAGTGTGACAGTTGATAGAACTGTAAGTAAATGTCTATGGTGATCTGTTAAAGCATTTGTTCTCATTTTTTTTTCCCCACCACTTTCTGTGGTTAAAAAGAGCATTTTCTGTCGAGTGATAGGTAAATATGTAGGGTAAAGTGATTTGTAGTTGATAGTTCATACTAGTGACATCTTACTGAAGATGAAATAATTTTTTGATGAAATAATTCTCAGTAACTGATTTTTATGGTTTTTTAAAACTTTCATTTAGTGAAATATGAGCAAYGAATAATTTATTCCTGGAGATGTCTGATTGTGTCTGAATTTTTTTTTTTTCATTTAACTGAGGGGGAAATAAACTTTGAGAGGACTGTGTGGAAAAGATGAGTTAGCATGAGTTAAGTCTTCTTCCAGGTGGCGTGAACAACTGTTTTTTACTCCTCCCTTTTATTCTTATGCTTCCCCATCTTGTGTTCCCTACAGACTATAGGTGTTTTAGATAAGGGAAMTGCCAAAGTAAAATCAGGAGGAAATGGGATTGGGGAAAACAATTTGTAAGGAAAAATACAGAGTTTGTTAATATATATTTGGCTCTGAATGTGATTCTGTTCTCTCAAGTCAAAATGATGTGTGTTAGTGAAAGTGTTCTAGCTTTAGAATACTGGTAGCGCTGAGACTCCTTGTAGTTTCAGGGTTAGTTTGACAAGATGCCAATGAGTGAGTCACTTTTGCTGAAAAATTCACGTGTTCCAGCAGAGAAAAAAGGTGAGAACTGATGAGTGGAATAGGGGGTTGGGGGATGCTGTTGCAGTTAGGCCAACCCAAGCTTACATTTAGGGAAAATGGAGCAATTAAAACATTGCATTTGTTTGAAATTTTTGATTGTGAGAACTAATGTAAAGATTTGGTTTATTATATAATTTCTATTTTAAAATTTTTTTCCTGCTAGGGACCTCATTTAGTAGAAAATTGCAACCATCTCTGTTCAGTAAGATAGTTCATCAGGTGGCAAATTCTGCTTGTTGGCTGAACTAAGTTTGGATTCTAGGAACTGGACTTAAAAATGTCTAATGTCAGGAAAACCTGAGGTATACAAGATAAAAAAAAACTGGAGTCAGAAACAAAATGCAGTCTTGCTGTTTTTATAGTATTTGCTTAACTGTTAAAACAGTCTTCTTGATGGAATAGGAAAATATCACTTTTAGGTAGGATAGTATTTGAAGGAAGCACAACTATAAAGTTTAAAAGCTGATCCTTCCTTGGGCTTATTTCCAACATGAAACATTGCTATTGCTAATTAAGCTGTAGTTTAAAATAGTTTCATTTTAGGACAGATTCCTAATGCTTTATGCTTAGCTTTTTGTTTCTCCTTCTCAAAAGATCCACGTAGCCTCTGGCAAACATACTGATTTTTCTAAAATCTGAATTACCTTACTCATATGACTAATATTTAAGTTAGCATTAATTTTTGGTTGTGAGAAAAATTAAAGCTTTGTAGTATGAAAAATAATGTCATATTCCAAAATTAATAACTATTAACTGTATGTCCTATTTGCTTCCATTTTTTGTCTGTGTTTTTCTGTATTCATTTGAAAACATAATTATACAAGTAATAAATGCATATTTTCTCTTATTTGCTTTATTTTGTTTTCTTACAGTAGACACTTACTAGTTCTTATTCTTTATTGTGACCTTGATCTTTCTTCCTTAAGTCTAATTATGTAATGATGTACTTCATTTGGGAAAAGATGGTCTTTAATGAACATTCTTCATGGCTGAAACTCCGTGTATTTCACTGAACTATTGATTATAAGGTTCTAGTTCTTTCAAACTGTAACTTGAGATTTCTAAATAAAAACTCTCAGATTTTGAAGTCAGTTTATTAATCTACAAGGCTGTAATTGGTGGTTGACAGTTACAGCTCAGAAAATACCCAGACTTGATTGGCTAGGTGAATTATATATCCATTAAATTTATGGCTTTAAAAACACTACTTAAAAAAACTACTTTAGTGGCAATGAAATATGCTCCTGATAAAATAAGTGAAAGTGTGCATATAACTTTATATGCATTATAATCCCATTTTTGTGTTTGTGCATATGTGTGTGGGAATTAGAGTGTGTGGCGAAACAGTGTCAGTGTAAAATGTTGAAAGGTGATGATTTGGGTTTTTTTTGGGGGGATACATGGGGATTAAACTTGGGTACTTGAYCACTGAGTCACATCCCCAGCCCTATTTTGTATTCTTTTTAGAGACAGGGTCTCTTGCTGAGTTGCTTAGTGCCTCACTTTTGCTGAGGCTGGCTTTGAACTCGAGATCCTCTTGTCTCAGCCTCCCAAGCTGCTGCGATTACAGGCGTGTAACACCACGCCTGGCAAAAAGTGGTGATTTTACAGGTGGTTTATTTTTTTCTGTATACTCCTTTGCATATTTCCTAAATTCTCCACAGTAAATATATTTCCACTTTAGAATCAGAAATAAACAAATATTATTTTAAAGAAATTTTAATATTAACCTCTTCTCTGTGCCAGAGATAGTTAGCATCTAAAAATCTCATGACATTCTCCTAATAAAATGTGAACCACTCTACTCAGAGAGTTCAATAGTAGTAATGCTGAATTGTGGAAGCAACTGTTAGTTTCCTTAACAGGGTCTGTTCTTATTCTGCATTTCCCTATCTACCCCCCCCCTTTTTTTAGTACTGGGGATTGAACTCGGGGGCACTCAACCACTGRGTGACATCCAGAGCCCTATTTTGTATTTTATTTAGAGACAGGGTCTCATTGAGTTGCTTAGTGCCTTGCTGTTGCTGAGGTTGGCTTTGAACTCGCGATCCTCCTGTTTCAGCCTCCTTAGCTGCTGAGATTATAGGAGTGGGCCACTGTGCCTGGTCCCCTATTTTTTACAGGCATTTTGGTCCTTTTCTTTTAAGAATAGATTGATTCTGATATTGGATCCAAAACTCTTAGTTGCTTTAGTTCTTGCTTTAATTCTAATTCCTTGAAGAAGCACTGGTGGTTTTATTTTGTTGTTGTTATTGTTTATTTTAATTGCATTGCCTGGGATCAAACCCAGGGTCTCTTGAAAGCTAGGCAAGTGCTCAACAATTGAGCTACACCCCTAACCCAACCCAAGAGGCAATCTTAACATCACAGAGTTTGTTCTTTGGCCCTGTGGATATTCAGGGTTAAGTCATCGAAGTTGTATTCTTGGTTTCCCCTGGTTTTGAATGGTTTGATACCCTACTTCCGTTCACCTGGCAGGTTTCACATCACAGCTCCCTCTGAGGAGCCATCCCTGAAACCTCTCATTTCAGTCAAAATCAACTATTCTGTCATAATCTCTCTTTGAACCTTTCCATTTTCCGTCATAGTTATGCCCCTTTAAGATTAAGTTCAGCTGTGAATGACTTGAAAACCTCAAGTAAACGTGGCTCCTGATAAAATAAGTAAAAGTGTGCATATAACTTTATATGCATTATAATTTCCTCTCTCATACCTGAAAGCTCTGTGGGAGGACTCTGGCTGGGAGAGTGGTTCCACATTGCAGGGAACCCAGGCTCCTCCTATTCTGTTGCTCTGCCATTCTCAGCAAGAAGCTTCCACATCATAGTCCAAAATAGCAACTCCATCTGGTGAGAAGGGGGAAGACAACAAACGGCAATTAAGTATGGAAGTTACATGTACCACTTCCAGTTAGGTCCCATTGAACTGAGCTTAGTCACGTGGCTTCAGCTAGGAGCAAGGAAGGTTGGGAAATGTGGGTTATTGTTGGTCATCATGGCCAGATAAAATTCAGGGACTGTTTTTGAGTAAGAAATGGGAAATAATTACTAGGGATAATTAGCAGTTTCTAATACTATAGCACATCACAGTTTGTAATTATATATCCATCTATAAGATTACTTTGGTATTTTTGTTTGTTTTGTTTTGCTTATTTGTGGTGCTGGGGATAACACCCAGGGACTTGTTCACATCCTAGTGTTTGTCTTCATTATTGAGTGTTAGTTTCTAGAATATGAAGAACATGTTTGTTGTACATTTTTTCCTTTTATATTTAGTATACTATTTAACAAATAATAGTATTTAGCACAGAAATATTTGTATTTCTTAAATGAATTTAGCTGATCTTTTTCTCCAAAATAATTCTTATTTTGTGGGAGGGAGTACCAGGGATTGAACTCAGGGGTACTCAACCACTGAACCACATCCCAGCCCTGTTTTGTATTTTATTTAGAGACAGGGTGTCACTGAGTTGCTTAGTGCCTCGATTTGTTCTCGTGATCTCCTGCCTCAGCTTCCCAAGCTGCTGGGATTTCAGGCGTCCACCACCATCCCCAGCTCAGATAATTCTTTTTTATTTTAAAAACAGTGCATCTTGTTTTTATTTTTTAAAAACTTAATCTGTT